CATGTTTCTTATGTCTATAATCCTCCAGTTATAAGCATGAACTGTCTTCCCAATTATCTCACTAGTCTGTTGTTGTTCTCTCATTCTCATACCGTTCTGAGTATTCCCCAGGTGAACTCTCTCCGAGATTTCTCAGTGATGCTTCTGGACTATTGCCTCACCCATATATTTCATAGTAAATTAATCTTTCTATATCTTTAGTATCTTTTCAAAATATTCTTAAGTAAATCCTGGCTTTCCCCTCTACCAATTTTCTTAAAGGAAGTTACTCTTTCTTCCATACTTTAATATCTCTTGATTGAGAGGTAATGTCAACATCCTCACAATTTTCCACTGTACCTTCTTAATCAGTCATCTTTTTCAAATCTAAGCAAGAGACCCTCTCTGAGATTCCTGTCATCCACCATATCACTCTCCACCACCCTCCCTTATAGTCACCTATCTATACTCAGTTCTCTCCTCCATCCTGATATATGTTTTTGGAACTTGACTCTCACTTACCTCCTCTACCTTAACTCTGGCTGGCATCCTGGTAGATTTCATCAACCATGTGGGTAAACCGCTCGACTCTCTAACGTCACAATTTCAATGTTGTTTCCTTCATATCTTCCAAATCCCTCCTATCTTTCTACTCATTTTATTCACTCTTCAACCGCATTAGGATCACTATCTTTTCCTTACATTCTTTAAATCGGCTCCACTACTATTTCTATTTCTCTCTAAACTAATCCCAGTCCTTGTGGTTTCAACGCCATTATCTATTTTCTCAATACTGCAATCAATTCCCAGTGAGCTCCAATGAGTTCAGCTATTCTTTTTATATTTTGTCCAGAGTTATCCTTGTTATCAGGAGGAAGGTTGGTATGAGATGAGGCAGTCTGCTATTAAATAAAATGGAACTGATATATCTTCCCACTTTTGAACTAAAATTAGCAAGGCCATGACCTCATGCATGAGAGACAGCCACCTTTGTCTTGCCACCACAACGTTACCATAACTATCCACCCTTAGATTAGTTCTTTACTATGCCTTCTACCTGAGTGACTAAGCATTGCTGGAAAAAAAAATTGTCCGTTGTGCTGAATAATTTCATCATAGCTTATAAGACATTCCTCCAAGAGGTACTTGAATATCATTGTCAACTATAAATCGGAAGGAAGGAAAGTCCAAGAAAGCCAGTGTTTGAAGACTACATTTTTTTTATTTTAAAGATGTGGGGTACAATTCAGGGTTAAGTATACAAATGCTCATTATGCAGGTACCCTTGTTGATGAGGTATGCTCCCCCCTCCCCTGGCAGTTTCCCACTACTGCCAATCCCTTCCTTATAGTATTATGATAATTGTTCAAGGTCCACTTATGAGTGAGAACATGTGGTACTCAGCTCTTTGTTTCTGTGATAGATCACTGTGTATGATCGACTCTAAATCCATCCAAATTGCTGCGAAGTCCATGTTTGTCCTTTTTTATGGCTGCATAATATTCTATCATGTATATGTACCACATTTTTTTATCCAGTATAGTTTCGATGGGCAGCACAGTTGGTTCCATGTTTTTGCTATTGTGAATAATGTTACAATAAACATGCACATGCAGGTATCTTTTTTGTAGAATGATTTGAGTTTTTCCGGGTATATTCCAAATAGGGGAATTTTGCTGGGGCATATGCAAGGTCAATTTCTAGTTCTTTCAGAAATCACCACACTGTTTTCTAAAGAGGTTGCACTACTTTGCATTCCCACCAGCAGTGTAGAAGCATTCTTTTTTCTCCACATCCTTGCCAGCATTAATGATGGCCATTCTTTCCTACACTTTTAATTTTGCTGTCTGTATCATTCAGGACTTAGTTGGAGATAATAAAATTAACACAAGCTAGTTTAAAGAGAAAGGGTTTTATCTTTATTTAAGGGTGGAAGGCTAAAGAAATATGCTGAGCTTCCAAGAACTACTCTCTAAACCACATGGGGCTGCCAGAGCAGCTGCCAAAAAGCTGTAAAATTAAAAATTTGCCTACCAAATTGGGAAGCCACAATTATATTTACTTATTACAAAGCCATTGCATGTTTGCTACCATCGGGGAGCCACAGCCCCTATTAAGAAACTGCTACCAGTTATGGCAAACAGCAGAAGTCACCTTTCAAAATGGTCCCTGGTGATTCTTACCTTGGTATCCATGCCCTTGTAGATAGGGTTGACCAGTGTGACCAATAAAATAACAGTATGTGACTTTTGAGACTATTTAATAAAATATATTGTCTCTTCCACTTTCTCTCTCGGATCACGTCCACCAGAAGAAGCCAACCACCATGTATGAGAACACTCATGCAACACTCTATAGAGAAGTCCATATGGGGAAAAACAGAGGTCTCTTCCAACAACCAGCACCAACCTAACAGTCATGCGAGTGAGCCACTATGGAAGTAGATCTTCCAGCCCTGGTCAAGCCTTTAGATGACTGCAAACTAATGAGAGACTCCGAGGCAGAATTGGTCAGCTAAGCTGCTTCCAAATCCCTGACCCACAGAAATTGTGAGAGATAATACATGTTTGTTGCTGTTTAAGCCACTATGTTTTGGGGGTAAATTTTGCTGCAGGAATAGATGACTAATACAGGTATCAGCATCCTGGACATTAATCCTTTTTTCAGTGTGCTTTGGATGACCTCACTGCGTTACTTCTCCTTTATCCTCCACCTCAATTATCTAAGCTCAAACTCCAGAGTTGAGAACTTGTAGAGGTAAAATCTGCAGGACTCTAGGAAAGGGCAAGACTCTTCCACCTTCTGGTTCATCCTTCACTAGCTTTCTGAAAAACGGCTCCTATTGGCCCACTCTCCCACAGACAACAACTATATCTAGATTATATATATCATAATATATATTTATATATAATATCTAGATTATATCATTGTATATTTATTATATACAACATAAATATATATTTAAAAACTACCTGACTACACTGGAAAGAGACCAAAAGGCAGATACTGGAAGGCGGTCATCATTTGGAAGAAGGCAGTGAAAACTGATGAATCACCGGTTTTGTTTTTTGGGCTTTCTGATTTATTTTGGTATTTCTTTTGCCTACATATCACACTGGGGTTGGGGGTGGGGAGAAGCTTAAATGAAGATACAAAATCTGCATTCTTACTGGTCTGAAGAATCAGAGGAGAGAGTAAGGGCAACTATAGCAATTGAAAACTGAGATGGGAAATCTCAGAAAGGTGACAGCCAGATAGGGGAAGCTGCAGATTCTACATGTAAGTTGCCTTCATTTCTGACTGATCACTGAACCATAAATGTGCAAACTGAGAGCGGGTGCAGAATGCAAGCAGTTCCACTAAGGCAATATGAACCAAAGTGAGATTTCAGTTGCCAGCTACTAAGGTGGAGACAGTTTTCCATTTGAGTTCAGCCCTTTGGACTTCCTTTATCTTCCCTACACACACACACACACACACACACACACACACACACACAGTTCTGTTGTAGCAAACAGTATTAGAAAGAACTAGGGGTTCTTTATTTATTTTTATGAGGTCCAAAAGGTACATAGAGAAATCATGCAAGATTTCCAGTGAGAAATTAGTTTTCTAGAGAGCCTATTAATTAATTTTTAGAATTCCACCAAACTTTGATGTAGGGTATTTTTTTAAATACCAAAGTGCATTCATTTATCTTCAAATATTCTGTGTATCTTGTTGAGAAAAGTGCTTGTAGTATTCCAAGTCATCAGAAAAACTGATTTGAAGAAATCAGAGCAGTTCCTTAAATGCCAGTTCATCTTCAAGGCTTGGACATTTCAGGCTATGGGGCAGAGCACAGGCTGGCTTGTCAAAGACAAGAGAGCTTTAACATGGGGAGATATGCTTACTGGTGAAAAATAATCTCTGAACTTTTCATGGCTTCCAACTGGTCACTGTTTGACATTCCTCTACCAGCCATAACATTGATCTTTTTCTGATACAGCTAAAGGAGAAAGAAATCAAAGAGTGGCTTCTCGTGTGCTTTGTCAACACAATCATATTTGTAAATAGAGTGTAAACCTACTGACAGTTTAGCAATGATTCTGCTTAATCTGAGAAAAAAAAAGTCAAATCTGCTTCCTGTTTTAAATCTCTGTATGGGGGAATTGGATTCCCATCATTTGTTTCGTCATTTTTTTTAGGAATAGATTGTGAGCCAAATTGATATTCTGAGAATTAGGAGAAAATTTTAAGCTTTGCCTGAAAGTTGAGGAGTTCAGCTCCTGGTTAAAAAGCAATGTGTGATTTTTCAGGCCCAACTATAGGCAATGACAAATGCTTTACCTGGCAGGCCTCATGGGGAAAGCTGTCCTCCTCACACCAGACTTGGTGCACAGCCAGTGCATTGAAGTCTCTGTGGAGAGTTGCAGTCAAGGCCTCAGATCCTTCTGGCCAATCATGTTCTTTCACATATTGATATTCCTGGTCCCAGTGCCAGTGCCTTTATTCTAGGCCTCTTTATCTGAGGCCTTGGGAAAGTGTCTTCTTCAGGTGCCTCTGCTGATCTCCCTATGTGGGAGTGGAAAGGGAAACTTTGAAGACACTTTTCCTCACTCTGACTCACTACCCAGTACTTTTCCACGTATAGCCCTCTGCCAGACTCCAGGGTCCATAAAACTGCTAGAGTCTTGTGTTCAGGGCTTCCTCAGCAGTAAGATGAAGCCATGACTGTGCTGCTCCACCCGACACTTACCAACATGCTGTTCCATAAGGGAGAGCAGTGGGGAGTTGGCACTTTATCTGGCTTTAGACTCTTGCTTACCCAATCACTGTAAGTGATTGAAGGCTTAACTCTTTAATGTTGGCTTGTTGCTTTAATTGGCTATTAGAACACCTGAAAACTCAGTTCTCTCTCAGCTCATCAGACTAATTACATTTTTTCCATTTCTAAAGATATCACTAAAAATTACACTCCTAAAACTGTTGGCCACACTGTGAAAATATGGCTGGTGCATCACAAAGTGAGTTTTAACCAATTTGCTCCAAAATATTTTATTAATAAAAGTCTTATATAAACAACAAAATAGAAAAAGAGTTATCTGTCACACTGAATAACATATTAAAAGAACATGTGTGGCTGTGGTTTCCAATTTCTCTACAAAACTAACCAGCCATGATGCAGTAAAGAAAGTTATAAAGAGTAAAAATATCCATATATTTTTTGAAACACTTCAAAGTACAAAAAGCATTGTGCTAATTTTTAAGTGCAAAGAAAGCTCATAATAAAATAGACTTTAAAAATTACAAATAAAAATCTGTACATCAAGGATATTTTTAAGGCCTTCCCATGTGCAGGACACTATGTAGAAAAAGAAAAGGAACCACTGAGCGAGGACCCATCACATCAGGTGTTACAGGTCTGGCCCATTTCGCTTTGCAGGACCATCTCCTCTTTTCTCAAGGGGAAAGTGTCAATCAGGTTGAAGAGGGCCACAGGTGTCACCAGGGAAACATAGCGCTCCTTGTCCATGCCATGCTTATCCACTAGCACCATACTGAAGGAGTAGAGTGGGATTCGCAGCAACAGCCTGGGACAGACAAAGAAGAGAAGACTGAATGAAACCCTGACTCCCAAGGGTTCTGGTGAAGCAACCAGAGCCCTATAATGATACAGTGTGCAAAGAAAGCCTGAATCATTCTCTAGACCCCTGCCACTCAAAGTGTGGTCCTTAGTTGTTAGAAATGGAAATTTTCATGCCCCGCCCCAAACCTACTGAATCTGAATCTGCATTATCAAGATTCCCAGATAGCTGATATATACGTGAGTGGTTGAGTAGCACTGCTTTCGATTATGGTAGGAAGACTTAGGCCTGCAATAGTGCCATGCACCAACAACAGTTGCTACAAGGCACATACAACAAGGCTAACAGATTTTGTTGCATTACATTGGAGTCAACCCAAGTTTGTTGGTTAGTTTTGCATAACCACATATACAATAGGATGAGACCAGTGGTTATCAATGAGATGCTTTTGCCCCCTCCACCCCACCCCAGGGACATTCGGCTATGTCTGAAGATGACTGCAAACTCATGAGAGACTCTGAGGCAGAACTGAACAGCCAAGCTGCTTCCAAATCCCTCACCCACAGAAATTGTGAGAGATAATACATATTTGCTGCTGTTTTAGGCTACTGTATTTGAGGGTAGTTTTTACTACAGGAATAGATGACTAATACAGGTATTAGCACCCTGGACATTAATTCTTTCATCAATGTGCTTTGGATGGCCTCACTGTATTACTTCTCCTTTATCCTCCACCTCAATTATCTAAGCTCAAACTCCAGAGTTGAGAACTTGTAGAGGTAAAATCTGCAGTACCCTGGGAAAGGGCTAGACTCTTCCACTTTTTGGTTCATCCTTCACTAGGCTGCTAAACATCTTACAATGTATAGGAAACCCTCCCTGCCAAACAAAGAATTATCCAGCTCCACGTGTCAATAGTGCCAAGGGTGAGAAAAGGTAAAGTTGATTGAAATAACTTTCCAAACATTATGTTTATGGTCTATTCAGTGGCTAACTCAGGAGTGCATAGTTAGAATGGATTGAGCTTGGTGTACAACCCAGGTATTCTTACTTGGTTAATTATAATTTGTACCTCAAATTTTTCCAAAAAAGAATTTCAAGTGGTTTCAAGTGTCTAGTGTTCCTTCTACTCTACCACATTGGGATTTAAACTGTGCAAAAAAATGTGATTTTTATATCAATACAAACATGTTTAGATGAGAAAAGCCAGAGAAAGCAAAAAACAACAACAACAACAACAACAAAAATAAACCAGATAAGCTGAGCCCAATGAACAAATGAGCCCACTGTCTTTTCTCTGGATTGTTTTTTTCAGTTTATATTTTGAGATTGTGTATGAGGCAGAATATACACTGCCATCTGAATTTAAAGTGAAATATGTCTTCCTCATACAAACAGATCAAGGTTTAAAAAACTATTACATAAAATACAAACTGACTTCACTTTTTTCTGGCTTTTAAGAGGGAGTTTCAAGGGAGAAAGGAATAATTTATATTTTATCCCAGTGGGAAGCTAAATCACTAATCCACTTCTGGTGACTAGAAATAAAAGAACATTACAATGCCTCCACCAGGTTTCCTGCAGTGCTAAGAGGGTCACTCAGGAGGAGATGACTTTGTGAAGTACATTAATGAGTAACTGAACATGTGAATGTAGGCTGTGAAGTAAGGTGGGAATAGAAAACTAAACTGCTCTACATCTTTAAAAGGAGGGACACTTAGTTTCAGTGGGGTGAGGGGGCAGGGTGGTCCCAGGAAACAGAGGAGTAGGGAATGTAGTGGCTGAAGCATGTGGGAAAAGGTGACCAATGAGAAATTGGAGCATTCGGTTTTATAGTATTTGTGAGGCTAGGATCAAACCCCCCTCATAGTGTCACCATCTGCTACCACACAACATTCCCCTGTAAGCCTTGTGCTTTGATTGACACTGAATATAAAGAGGGAACGCTGTCATGGGAAGAGCTGAGTAGTTAGGTCAGCAGGCTAGCAACAGCCAGGGGAATGCATCCTACTGAGGCTGAGGCCACGGAAATCTTGAGGATAGATGACTGAACACCCCACAGAATGTGGGATGGGAGGTGGTGCTGACAGTATGTCCAAGTTACACCAATGTCTGTCATCAGATTAGAAGGAATTCTTCCTGGAGAATCTTCTAGGAAACTCTGGAGACTCAAAGAACAATGTGGGTATAGAAATAATAATTTTCTTGGTCTCTGTTGTCCTCGAGAGTGCTGGAAAATTACTCTAGGGAACATGAATCAGCCCATATATCCAGACCAAAAAGAAATGAGGACAAGAAAGAAGAAAGGTGTTTATGCCACAGTTTCTGGTACAGGATGCTGCCACTAAGTCATTAAATAAATGAATAAGCCGGGCTCGGTGGCTCAGCCTGTAATCCCACGCCTTTGGGAGGCTGAGGTGAGTGGATTGCCTGAGCCCGCGGGTTCGAGACCCGCCTGGGCAGCGAGACCTCATCTCTACAATAAATCAAAAAATCAGCCGGGCATGGTAGCGCGCGCCTGTAATTCCAGCTACTCGGAAGGCTGAGGCGGAAGGATCGCCGGAGCCCAGCAGGTCGAGGCTGTGGTGGCCGGGAGCGGCCACTGCACTCCAGTCTGGGCGACAGAGTGAGACTCCAACTCAAAAAAATAAATAAAATAAATAAATAAATAAATGAATGAATGAATGAATGAATAATTGAATGCCAAAAAAAGAAGGAAGGTGATGACCTTGCAACATCAGGCACCCAGTCCTCCCTTTCTGCCTACTCTGTTCTAGAGTTTTATCATGGCCTCAGTGCTACATAAAAGTAGTGTTCTAACCAGACAAGATAATTTTTAGATTATCCAGGCATTCTACTTCTTTCCTATTTCCCATTCTTTTTCTAAATTGTCTCTTCCTCTGCACTAGACTCTAAGGTGGAATTCAAAGTGAAAAAGAAAATAACATCCTTCTGCCAAGTTCTTTCTTCCTTGCTGATGTGTCTGATAACAGGGGCATGCCAGCCTGACACCGAATCCATTAGGTAATGCATCTCTGCATGATGTTTACCTGAACTATCTTCTGGCTGCACAACAAATACTGACCCTCTTCTTAAAGGCTGCTAGACAAATTTTCTGTTTCAAAATGAGAAATACTTTGGTAAGACACTAAACCAATGATTCTGACACTGTGGTCCCCTGGTAGCTTGCTAGAAATGCAAATTCTCAGACCCTACTCTAGGCCTACTGAATCAATAACTGTGGGGGTAGAGCCTAGCAATATGTATTTTAACAAACCCTCCAGAGGATTCTGATGCAGGTTAAAGTTTGAGAACCACTGCATAATTCATTTAAGCAACTTATTTATTGCTTAAATTATCTGCAGCCTATAATAGCCCCAATATACTCATACAACCTGAAATAAGTTTTGTTCTTGAATCACATTTTTCTGTTCCTTGTGCAGTTTAAATAGTTTACATTACCTAAAGATTTTATACAAATTATATATATATATATATTTAATCTAAAGAACATAATTCTGCAACAGGTTTTTTAAAAAAATCATTGGCACAGAGTATGAGCAGCTAGTTCTAAATAAGCAACAGTTTCATAAAACTTACTTTGAAAATGTTCATTATAAATTTTTAGATATCGACACAATTCTCTGTCTTGAGTTTTGCACACTTCAACTTGAGGTATTAGTACTCTATCTGTAAATATGCTCTTAAAGACTAATATCAGCTGGGCTCGGTGGCTCAGCCTGTAATCCCGCACATTTGGGAGGCTGAGGTGAGTGGATTGCCTGAGCCCGCGGGTTCGAGACCCACCTGGGCAACTTGGCGAGCCCTCATCTCTACAATAAGTCAAAAATTAGTCGGGCATGGTAGCACGCGCCTGTAGTTCCAGCTACTTGGAAGGCTGAGGCGGTAAGGATCGCCGGCACCCAGCAGGTGAGGCTACGGTGGCTGGGAGCGGCCACTGCACTCCAGTCTGGGCGACAGAGTGAGACTCCAACTCAAAAAAAAAAAATAAAGACTAATATCACCCTCATTGAACTAGTAAACCTATTGCAATGAAATTCAGTCATTTATTCCATTTAGCTCCAACATGGTGCCAGGCACTGTGCTAGACACCAAGTAGAAAATATTGGAAAGATCTGCTACTGACCTCAAAAGCACTATACTTTGAGGAGATGCTAGATGCAAATGCAGTAATATTTCAAAAAATACAAAAGCATATGAGTTTATCTAGACTTCTCCCTCCATCAACCAACTAAAGAAAATTTATACATGCTTTTTTTGTTTGTTTTCCATCCCTGACCCTCTGAGATTTTTACCTTGGTGGGATGGGACAGGCTCTTTCTGGGTGGAAAGAGGTATAAATCAAACATGGGATGGGTCAAAGGCAGCTAGAATATAGGGAAATGGGAAAAAGAAGCTATTGTATTAATCTCTATATAGCATCATTTGTTAAGGATATGTTTCTGTCATATAGCCTCACAAGGAATTTCTGTGAACGCCTATGAAGAAAGGAAATTCTCTGAATTCCTATGATAGAGTTCACTAAGTCCCATTTCATTTTCTTCTTCTTGGGGATACAGAAATACTGCATTTCTCAGCTTCCCTTGGAATTCATGTGACTATTTCTGGACAACTGGGAGAGTGAGCAAGGTGTGTCACTTCTACCCTGAAGCATAAAAGAGTGGGTGTGGGTTGATTGTTTTTACTCTCTTTATTCCCTTTTGCAGAAACCTAGAAGCCATGTGCTCTGAATGTTAATGTACAACATGGAGCAGGCACATGGGACTCGGAGAACAAATATCTGCACCCTCCTCTCCAGTGTGCGAAAGACAAAGCTAGGTAAGAAAGGAAGGTTTTTAAAGGAGTCTTGCTTTAGTGTAATTATCTATTTCACAGTGGTCAAGAGATGCAAGTAAACATTTGGATTATTCTGAAACTACCTTCTGGCTGTTGAATTCTACTTCTTTAATACATCATTACTCAGAGTCTAAACACCACAGCTCCAGTTTTATAAGTGTTACCAAAATAAAATATAATTGTTGAAATGGGGGTATGGACAAGTGCCCTGCACGCAGGAAGGAAAAAGAGGCCAAGCCTGGCAAAGCTAGTTGAATGCCTGCACTCCTAATAAGACCAAGGCTTGCTTAGATCCTTTTTTCAGTTTCTCCTTCTCCTTCTCTACCCATCTCTCCCCACCAACCAAACACACACACACACACACACACACACACACACACACACACACAGGCAAAGCAAAAACACTTGTTTCGAGGGGGAAAGAAGACAACACCGGTAATTACCCACTACATTATTTATTTGGACAAACAACCACATGCTAATTAGTATGGTCATGATACTCCCAGAATAAAAGCAATGAAACATTGAAGTTTGTTTGAACTCAATATTGAATAGAAAGAAATTAGGGAACCTGACCAGATAAATGTGCATTCACAGAGGACAAGACTTAAGAACAGAACATCCCCCTACCTGAGCTGCAGAGCTAAGGCTGGAGGCATGATCTTTGTTCTTATCCTGCCGATGAGGGTTGGAAACACACCCACCAGCTCCACCACAGTGATGTGTCGAAGATCCAGGCCACACTGTGCTTGCTGAGAAAAAGAAAACCCAACAGGGAGGTGTGAGCTTGGTTAAAGAAAGAGACATACATGTCAAGCTACAAGCTAACAGAAGCAGTACTGGCCTGTCTTTGGGAGTTTATTTGCCCACTCTGAACTGTCCAGAAAACAGTTGAGAAATTGGGGTTAAATTAGTGGCTATAAAACTTAAATACCTTCCTAGAAGAATCATGCAGAAATGGCTTGGCAACAAGATTTTGAAAACCTAAGCATAATGAAAGTCTATGTATTTCCAGACAGGGTGAGACTTTGCATGAGTCAAATTTCCTAAAAAGTGTCCAAGACCACCCCAGAGGATTATAACTTTGTCTTTGCAAGGAGAGAAGAATACACTGTTTCCTTCCCTGCCCTATTTTCACACTCCATGTCCCCCTGCCCTAAGACCCTCCCCAAGCCCAGGGGAAAGAAGGATGTGAACAAGGTTCCAATTCTCTAAGCTGGTCCTTGGCAAGAGCCTCCAGAATGTTGTCCAGTCAACCATGTGCCATGAGGACTCATCAAGAGCAGCAGTGGCAATAAGGAAACAGAAAATTAACATAAGACAAATAAGATGAATCTAGAAAATGGGAAATCTAAATGGGAAAAGAAATTTTGAACCCCTGTATTATGAGAACACCAAATGTTTTGAACCACAATTCCACTGAAAACATCCCTATATGGTAGGGGGAAAAAAGTTTGAAAAGGTAGAAATAGACTTTTCTATTACTCTAATGGAAACACCTAAGTTAATCAAACTTTACCTTGAAGGTTCTGGTTAAAATACAAATGTTGCAAGAAGGAAGTCACATATAAACATGTTAATACAAAATATCTTATCCAACTGGTTGATTGATAAGCTAGCAAGTATCCGAAGAGATGGGATAGACTACAGCAGGGATGACACTTTTTCTCTGTAAAGGGGCAGACAGTCAGTATTTTAGGCTTCACAAGTCTGGATGGCCTCTTTTCTAACTTCTCGACTCTACTGCTGTAGTGAAAAAGCAGCTATTCAATGCATGAACAAATGAGTGTGGCTATGTCCAATAAAAGTTAACTTACAAAAACTGGCCATGGGCCAAATTTGGCCCACAGGCCATAGTTTGCTAATAGAAAGGAAAATCAAGTTGTTTAGCTTATTCATTTTTCTATAAAATAAGAAAAGATGAGGAAATGCACGATCATGTAATATAAGCTGTAATGCTACCTTCCCACAAAACAGGGAGATGTAAGCTTGTGTTTTCTAAAGAGCAAGCCCCTAGCTTGGACAAGGAAATATGAGGGGAGGTAAAATGGCCAGGACTGGGGGTAAAGATGTAATAAATTTGGTTCCTATCACAAGAGCCCACAAAAATTTTATATGGCTCTTCAGAGTACATGGGCAGTCCGTCAAGTACATGGGAAAAGTGAAAAGACTTATTGGTATTCATTGTATTAATGCTGACATGAGAAGTACATTGTAGTCTTTGATTAAGCCAAGATTGTTCTAAGCACTTAGTTCTATTCACTGTAATAAATGAATGGAATATTCTCAAAACATGTGCAGTACCATGTCCCTGACACAGCACACATCCAGACTCTTCAGTATTCAGTCAGATTGACCACTCTTTTTGTATAGAAGCTTCAGGACAAACACAAGCAACTTCTAGTTTGGTCCCTACAGTTTCTATTCAACCAACACCCCACTCAAGATGCTGGTTGCCTCATTTAGTAGCTGTGTGTGAAATTTACACAGCTGAGAAGGGCACATTTCCTAGAAAAAGTTCTCCTTAACCTTTAGAGTGCTTAAGAATCTCCTGGACAATCTTGTTAAAAATGTAGGTCTGGGAAGGGGGCCTGAGAATCAGCAGGTCTATCAAGCTTTCAGGTGATACAGATGCTGCTGGTTCATGGATCACACTTTGAGAACCACTGTTCTAAAAAATAATCGTCAGTCTCTGAGAGTTGGGGAAATTCCCTGGGAAAGGATGTGAGGCCTAAGGGAACCTGGACTCCCCTCATCCTTTGGGCCGCCTTTTGGGCAGACAACTGATTGATCTCCTCCACCCAGGCATATCCTGGACGGTTCAGCAATGAGAACTCTTTTGTGGCTGAACTCGTACAGCATGTCAATTAGACTTATTAGTAAAGACAAACAAACCTTGTTAGTTGGAAAACGATTGGGTTAGCTCTGGAGAGTCAATGTTAATCAGCTTATGCCTCAGAACCATAAATGAATGGTAGTAGCTCTAAAGTGCCAGTTCCTGAAACACAGTAAACTGATTAGGCCCTGAATCTGGCCTTCACTTTAAGTGAAATGGCTGGGCCCTGCCTGTAAGAGGTCTTCCTCCCATCTTGGTCCTGCCTTGAGGACTCACCTGCAGCATTCCCAGCTGCAGCCGGTAGAGGAGGTTTCGGGCTGTGGGTGTGGACACAATGAGGAGTCTTCTTTTCTCATAAAACTGATCCAGAAGTGCAGCTGCTGTTCTGACACCCACATTGACATTCATGGCTGTAATTAGAAATGGTCACATGGGTCAGAAAACCTCTACTTGTTCTGGCTCAACATAGCCTGTGATGACACACAGAACCATATGTTGTAAGAGGTAGACCCTGAGGTAAGTATTCCAATTAAGTCATCACCTCCCACATGGTCTAGTCGTTAGGATTCCTGGTTTTCACCCAGGCGGCCAGGGTTCAATTCCCGGTGTGGGAAGATGGGCTTTTTGGGAGATTGGAGGCTTTCCCATATCTGGTAGCTAAAACAAGACAATCCAGAAAGAAATATAAGATGAACTTGTCTTCAATGAAACCAATATAAGTCATTTATTTGGAAGGTGGTCCCGGGAAACACTGGTAGAGGAGTGGACAAGTGTATTGGTTTCCTTTTGCTGCTGTAACAAATCACCATAAACATAGTGCCTTAACAGAACACAAATGTATTCTCTTTAGTCCTGGAGGTCAGAAGTCCAAAACAGGTTTCACAGAGCTAAAACCAAGGTGTTGGCAGGCTTGTGTTCCCTGTAGAGGTTCTAGGGTAGAATCTGTTTCCTTGTCTTTTTCAGTATCTAGGGGCCACCTTCATTCCTTGGCTAGCGACTCTTCCATCTTCAAAGACAGCAGTGTAGCATCTTCAAATCTCTCTTCTCTCTAACCTCTCCTTCCAACATCTCTCTCTGACTCTGACAGCAGTTCTGACTCCCTTATGTGAGGACCTTTGGGATTATATTGAGCCCATTGGATAATCCCAGATACTCTCCCCATCTCAAAATCCTTAGCTTAATTATATCTGCAAAGTCCGTTTTGCCATATAAAGTAATACATTCACAGGTTCTAGAGGTTAGCATGTGGGTATCCTTAGGGGGGCATTATTCTGCTCATATCAGGAAGTGAAACAGTGAAGGAAAGAAAACAAGAGTGGGTTTTCAGGCAAGCTACTGCTGTGGGCATCTGGAGCTCATTCCCACTGGGGAACTTTGAGAGATGGCATATACATACCTCAGAGTTATCCCACTTGAGGGAACTAGAGTATTTATAAGCCAAATGCTCCATCATTGGTTGAAAGTTGCCTCTGGGGCACTAACTATCACTTCCAGCCAGCTTTGCACATGGGCTGACAATGCTTTCATAGCTGTAAAAAATGCTCTCAGAGACACTCAGACAGACCCATGTAATTAGCCTTCTGAACATAAATGAAAATTTCAAGAAAAAAAGAGAAAATTTCAAAGGCATATGGGCCAAGCATTATGGTATCTGCTAAGGAAAGGGGTGCAGGGAAGCAGAACGGTAAGAATGGGCAATAGACAGGCTGGCTTTGGAATGGCTGAGATTCTCTGAAGTCTGCCTCCTTGGCGCAGAAGGCACAGGGTCAAGTGAGCCACAGAGGGCCACAGAGCAAGTAACACAGTCATGGAGGACATGGGACAAGAAAGTTTCATAATAGGTCTGAAGCCGGGCTCGTTGGCTCAGCCTGTAATCCTGCGCCTTTGGGAGGCTGAGGTGAGTGGATTGCTGAGCCCGCGGGTTCGAGACCCGCCTGGGCAGCGAGACGTCAGCTCTACAATAAATCAAAAAATCAGCCGGGTGCGGTAGCGCGTGCCTGTAGTTCCAGCTACTTGGAAGGCGGAGGTGGAAGGATCGCCGGAGCCCAGCAGGTCGAGGCTGCGGTGACCGGGAGCGGCCACTGCACTCCAGTCTGGGCGACAGAGTGAGACTCCAACTCAAAAAAAAAAATAAAATAAAATATAATAGGTCTGCCATTTAGTCAAATAAAGTACAACCATTTCAGCTGCTTAAGGTCAATGAAAGATGTTTAATAGATAAATAAACAAACAGGCCTGGCCCTGGAGAAGAAATGAGAAAAACTAGGAAATTCCATGTATGGTTTATAATCTTGGTGTTTATATTTCAAACTTTAGATTTGCATTAAATTATTTGTTCATTCACACATTCATTCACTGAGCCCACATACACTGAGTATGTGCCATGTACCAAGCGCTATGTCAAGCACTGAGATGTTTCACTGAGTGATACAGAGTTCCTGCCCCAGGGGCTCAGAATCTAGGATACTTTTGATTAATAAAAATGCAATGGAAGTCACTATGTAATTTTGCAATTTGTAGTAGCCTTAACAAAAAAGTACAAAAAGAAAGGTAAAAATGACTTTATCATATGCTTTATTTAACCCAATATATCCAAAATATTTCATTTCAACATGTGAACAATATTAAAAATTGAGATACTTTATATTTTTTGTACTAAGATTTTGAAATTGGTGTATATTTTACAATTACAAAACATCTCAATTCAGACTAGCCTAATTTCAAGAGCTAAATAGCAATGCATGGTTAATGGCTACCATATAGGACCATGCAGGCCTAGAACCTTGTTAGATACTACTATACTTTAATGCTAGATTTGTGGGCATGGAATTCTTAGATGGATGTCTGTGATGGATATATTCTTTCTAGTTTAATATATGAAAGTGAAGACCTCGGGCATTTACCTAATAGTATCTCTCTCTCTCTCTCTCTCTCTCTCTCTCTCTCTCTCTCTCTCGATGCCTGCCCCATCCACCCAACACTTAACTCTGAAAAGCTAGAACTGAAGGAAAAGAACAAAGATGAAAAGGTACTAAAAAATTAGAAAAAAAGAGAAGTCTACAAACAAGAGGTATGTCCAGAATTTTCTGTCTAGTCTAAATTTCACACTATTACCACTTCCCAGTTCAACTTTTGTTCATCAGTAACAAGAGCTGTCAGGCACTGCTCTATTACACTGTTCCACAAATGACCAGATTTAATCCTTACACAAATCAAGAGGTGAATGAGATACTATTTTCCTCATTTTACATAGGAGGAAAGAGTCCAAATACCCAAGGTCTACATGACTTTTAAGCCAGTGCTGCAAAGCTGGCATTATATGGTCTATACAATGTAATATACAGTACATGGTATATATAATATTTGGTGGTATAGTGGCTTTGTAAATAAGAACCTTATACTTGTAGAAGGGAGGAACAAGGATGACTACAGCAGACTTTGCTGATTCATAAAGTCACCAAAGGCTGGCCCTGGGTTCTTACCTTAAGCTTCTCCCTTAGAGGACATGAAGGGGAAATCACAAGACAAGTAGAGGCAAAGAAAGGCAGGTGAGTTGAGCTGCAGCAGGGATCTGGGGACTATGTTCACCAACTTGGTGAACACAGATGGCAATAAACTTTTCAAGGTTCACAAAATGAAACCTTCTCTTCCTGTACTGGAATGAACAACCAAGGAGTCTTCAGGTTTTGCTGCTGGCTGGAAGAGGGCTGCGTACATACCTGCACATGTGGGTTCTGTGCCAGACCAAGCCAGGTTGGATTGACATACTCGGGCAGGACTACCCTGGAGCTCATAGCCACCAACGCAGGAGAACTCACAGGTGGCTCCATAATTATCGCCGTCACTGGAGCATTTCATATAACCATTCTCTGGGGCATTGAGTTTACCGCAACGTTTGACTGTAGGGACACAAGTCCAGAGGGGTCTCAGTGCTGAGCTTCCTTCCACGTAGCAGGGAAAGTGAAGACGCAGAGGGACCAGCTTTGCAATCAGGCTTCTACATTAGCACATGAAATGAGTGAGGGGGCATGGATGACTATTTGGTCAATGGGTGGGCCTTGGAATGGTCACCTTCCATACCAATGACACCACTGAAATCAACTAGTTTAGCCCCTTGTGTTATAGATGAAGTTGGGCCCCAAAGAGTAATGATGGTTAGAAAATTGCTGCCCAAACCATGAGGCAAAAAATAATCCTTAAAAACAGTTTTTGTTGTTGTTGTTTTCAGGTAAACCAAAGGTTCTAGAACACCAAGAACAGGGTGGCCAAAACTAGGGGGTGCCTTACCAGTCTAGTTATAGAAGGTCTTGCAAGCTTTGGCTTGTTCGCCAAGCTCAGTGATGAAAAAAATATCAAATGATATTCTGCTGGGACAGCCAACTATGGACTCCTGTGAGACCAGTCCCATGGAACTCCTTAAATAATCTGCCAGCACTGAATCTTATGCAGGTGTGTATCATGAAATTCAGGCATTAAGATGGGATACTTCCCCAAGCCTCATTAGAGGCTAATTTAAAGCCGGCAGGTCTCCCTACCACAGTGGGCACTCAGAGTTCTGGCTTGAGGGCCTGCTTCCCTTAGCTATTCTAAAGAGAGAGAAAAAAACCAATAAGCAGTACTCTTACCTCTTACTTTAACTCGAAATTTGCAAGTGCCTTTGTTCTCAGCTCTGTCATAAACTGTGTACTGAATCTTATGGTCTCCTTCTGGAAAATTTGAGCCTGGGGGAAGGCCTTTTAGAATAACACTTAAAGAAAGAGGGGGGGAAACAGAAATACCAAATATGATCATTATGGACCTAACAAGCAGTTGTTGAACTCCTACTCTGCACAGGATGCAGGGATATTGAAGGGCAGCCTCTAGGCCTGTTTGACCAGAAAAAAAGACTTCTTGAAGAAAGAATCTTCTGAGTTTTATTCTGTTTTAGAACAGTTTGAGACCAGAAAATGTAAGACCCCCAACTACTGGGAAGCTTAGACTTTTTTTCTTACTGGAGGATAGACTGGGGGGCAGGAAAGCTGAGAAGCCAAAGCCCATGTCTTCTTCCAGTACTCTTTTTTCAAGGAGGACAACAGGATTTTCTGGAGGAAAATCATTTGAGAATTTAGTCCAAACAGACATTGGCAATTTTGGCCTGTAGGGGGTGCTAAGACTTTCTCTGCTTTTTAAATCTACCTCAGTGGAGATCTTTCCTGAGCAAAAGGCAAACTAACAAACTCTTTCATTCTTTCGTTATCCTAATAATATAATAATAACAATAATTGCTCTTTGCACTTACATAGACCCTTACATATTTTAGGCATTTTACATATATTAGTATATTTAATCCCTATAACAATCCTATTGGGTAGGTAGTATCATTTCCATTCACAAATGAGGAAACTGAGGCACCAAAAGATTAAGAAACTTGCCCAAGATCACACGACTAGAGAGACACCAGCATCTTTCTTCTTGGTTGTCTGATAAGAACAGCAAAAAGTATAGCATGATAAGTTCCAGGATTTGCTTGTTTTTCGAAATACAGAGAATTCCTTCTCCCTACAGTTCTTAGGAATGGTAAGAATATTTGCTAGTAATAGACATACAGAGTTATCATTGTCAC